AAAGTTGAAAAAGAAAAAGGTCGAAAAACAGTGAGCGTCCGGGAATACTTTGCATATCGGATCCATGATAGGAAAAACAAGCCATCTACTATTCTTTCATCGAGAAGATTGTTTCAACAGTTTGTTGTTGATGCATATACCATGGTTGAATCATCGAGGTTGCGGTACATACGTCGACTCGGATGTGATATTTACAATAGATTGGAAGATGCAGTTCTTCAGGGCGATGTCGATCAAAGATATAGAGGAAAGAGAATTATCCTGCCTTCTTCATTCACTGGGGGACCTCGAAATATGATTCAAAACTATCAGGATGCAATGGCAATTTGCGGATGAGCAGGTTATCCCGATTTGTTTATAACATTCACGTGTAATCCAAAATGGCCCGAGATTGTTCGCTTTTTGGAACCAAAGAGATTGCGACCTGAGGATCGCCCGGATATTATTTGCAGAGTTTTCAAGTCAAATTTAAAGGAATTAATCAGGTATTTTCGTAAAAAGCAAATTTTCGGCAGAGTCGTAGCAGGTATTATTTTAAGAAAAAAAAAACAATTTTGTATATATGTCTATCGTGGTGTCTAACACCATTTCTAAAATATCTTTTAATTGTTTTTTCTTCTTTTGTGTTTTGTAGTTGTCTACACCATTGAATTTCAGAAGCGTGGATTGCTGCATGCTCATATTCTACTATTTCTCGCCAAAGAAAATAAGTTCCCAGATTCGTCATACATTGACAGAATAATATCTGTGGAGATACCTGATGAGATGTCGGATCCTTTGTATTATGAGGCAGTAAAAGAGCACATGATTCACGGACCTTGTGGTTTGGCTAGAAAATCATCTCCGTGCATGGTGGATGGCAAGTGTAGTAAACGATTTCCTAAAAATTTTGTCGATTTCACCACTGTCGATAATGAAGGTTATCCACGATACAGACGTCGAGACAATGGAAGGCATATTGAAAAAATGGTTTCGTTGTCCATAACGGTTATGTCGTGCCTCACAATCGCAAATTGTTGATGAAATATGGAGCGTATATTAATGTCGAGTGGTGCAATCAATCATGATCCATAAAGTACCTTTTCAAGTACGTCAATAAAGGTCATGATCGTGTCACCTCATCATTCTATCAGACGACTGCGTATGGAGAGATAGAAAAACCTGTTGACGAGATCAATATGTTCTATGACTGTCGATATGTGTCTTCTTGTGAGGCGGCGTGGAGGCTATTGGGTTTTGAACTGCAGTACAAAAAACCTTTCGTGCAACGTCTGAGTTTCCATTTGAAAGGTGAACATAATATTGTTTTTGAGGATGATGATCCTATCGATGCAGTTCTTAATAATCCCACTGCCAATGAGAGCCAATTTTTGGCATGGATGGAAGCAAACAAGATGTATCCTGAGGCGAGGAAACTGACATATGTTGAGGCGCCGACAAAATTTGTTTGGAACAAAACAGAAAGAGTGTGGACTCCTCGAATAAGGCCAGGTTGTATAGCTCGTTTGAGCTATGTTCCTCCCAATGCTAGTGATAATTATTATTTGAGGTGTTTGGTCAATGTTGTTCGTGGTGCTACTTGCCACGAGGATTATATGAAGGTAGAAGATGTTCAACACATGTCCTATCGCGATGCTTGCTATGCACGAGGTTTGTTGTGTGATGATCGAGAGTACATTGATGGAATTACCGAAGCAAGTCAGTGGGCATCTGCTGATTCTCTTAGGCGCATGTTCGCGTCTTTATTGGTTTCTGGATCCTTATGCAAACCTGATGAAATTTGGGAACGGTGTTGGCAATTTCTATCTGACGATGTACTATACAAGCAACGTTGTCTTTTCGATAATGAAGGTATGAGATTTAATAGGTTTTATATTATGCATTTACCAAGTAGAAAGTAATATTGTTTTTAATTATTATTAACGTTTTTTTACTCAACGTAAAAAATGAAATCTAATATGTCGTTTATCATTATTTCAGATTTGAAGCTGAGTGATGCATATATAAAAAAATCTAGCTCTTGCAGAGATTGAGACATTATTGAGACAACGTGGCACAAGTCTTCGGGACTATTCTACTATGCCTTTTCCAGATATGGGTAGTATTAATTCAAGTACGAATCGTCTAGTTTTGGATGAACTTAACTACGACCGTAAGGCTCTAGCTATTGAGCATGATGCATTGCTGACACATATAACCGATGAACAGAGGGGTGTTTATTCCAAAATAATGACATCTTTTCATTCCGGTAGGGGCGGCGTATTTTTTGTGTATGGTTATGGTGGAACTGGAAAGACATACCTGTGGAGGACTTTAGCTGCTCGGCTAAGATCGCACGGTCGAATTGTGCTTTGTGTTGCATCAAGTGGAATAGCATCTCTCCTGCTGTCGGGCGAACGAACTGCACATTCTCGATTTGACATTCCTATTTCTGTGCATGAAAATTCATCGTGTGAGATCAATCAGGCTAGCCCTCTTGCCGAGTTGATTATTCGCTCTTCATTGATCATATGGGATGAGGCCCCAATGA